CCCGCCCGTGGTCGCCCTCCGCCAACCGTCATCGACCACCACTAACTATCATCGATCACCACCAATCAGACGCCGTCAGTCGACGTTGTAATCTAAAAAGTATAATTATCTTTTCCCGTCTGTGGGATAAGAAATTTCTGCAATTATCAATTAATAGTGAATTTATGCAACTGAGTCAAACCCCGTGGTTTTTTCCTTACGGGTTTTCCATGTAAAAACGTTGAGTCATCACCACTTGTTTTTCTTTTATTTATGTATGTGTTGAACTTTCGTACAATGCTAAGACAATAATTCATTACTCTACCGCCGCGAATTTTCTAGCACGCATCAAACATAGTAAATGCACATAAATATATACTAACTAAAAGTTAATAGAAATAACAAAGTTATATGTAAGGTGATAATCTTTACTAGTGTTAAATATAATTATATATAAGATTTATTTTGGGAATATGCCTAATGTGAGCCCGTATAAATACCATGCAAAGGTGAGCCCCACTCTTGCATGTATAATAAATATCCTAAACGATTCACACCAATCAATAAAATTGAACTGAGACATCTATTTCCACGTCAATTTCATGCATTTTATATTTCGTATCTATTTAATGTCAGAAGTTATATGGTTGTAAAAATTATGAATCATCCATAAGAGAAGCATTTTTCATACGTGTTCAAAAAAATAATGTAAATTTTTAATAATTTATTGAAGCTGTATGATTGAAATTAAAAAAAAAAATGGCAGAAAATAATTATTAAATTAAAAATGATTTTTTGGGCATTAAATAGATTTAACACTAATTAAATAAAAATTGGCAGTTAAAAAAAAAAAATGGCAGAAAATAATTAATAAATTAAAAATGATTTTTTGGTCATTAAATAGATTTAAAACTAATTAAATAAAAATTGGCAGTTGCCTACCAATCATCACATTTAATTTTTTGCGAAAGGATTTATTTAATAAAAAAAAGTATAGGGAAAATAAACAATCGAATTAAGAGAGGGCTATTCATGTTATTTTATCCATCTTTGTGTCCAAAGCCCGAATGGTCCCTTTCGCTCGCCTATGTTGCCCTGCCATATTAGCCTATCGCATCACATGCTCTCTCTGCTTCAGTGGGAGTGCTCTTTCATCCCAAGGAGCTTTTGGTTTCTGTCGGAGTCCACCTCCGACCCGGCTTCCTTCCGCGGCACGGTGCGCTCCCTACCTCCCTCCCTCCCTCCCTTTCTCCCTCTTGCGTTAAAATGCCATGCAAAAATTTGAAATTTGAGTGTCTATGGTTCGATTTTGAAGCTGGAATGGCGTGCGCGGCTGCTAAATTGGAGTTTTATGGAGTGTTTAAGTGCTGATTCGTCTCTATTAGTGTTTTTATGGGGTTTTTTTTGAGTTTTACTTCATGATCTGTCCTTTTTCCAGATTACCTATGGATTTTGTTTGTGCTCTGTATGAACTTTATTTTTAGGGTAAAAAATGATTGTTTATTAACTGTTAATGCTGAAAGTTTGTAGCTTTGTGATATATTTTCTTGGGATCTGATTGTGGGATTCGTGTTAACTGATTCTGTGCAGTGGTTTTCGATCGACCTGTCAAGTGTTTCTGGTTTCAATAGCCATTTTAACTCGAACACCGAAGTTCTGTTTCATTAGGAGCTTTTGTGGGAGTTTGGGACTCAATATTTGAACTTTAAACGTTCTCTGCAATTTAACTACTGGTTGAAAGGGCTCGCCACATTTGCTGCTTACTTGTGTTTCCTTGCTAGTTCAAGATGATGCAGAGGCCTCTTCGCCCTGAAGATTACTCTCTGAAGCAGACTTCTCCTCACCTTGGTGGCGGAGGAGCTGCAGGTGATAAGCTTACCACCACTTATGACCTTGTCGAGCAGATGCAGTATCTCTATGTCCGTGTTGTCAAAGCTAAGGACCTCCCTGCAAAGGATGTTACAGGCAGTCTTGATCCATATGTGGAGGTCAAGCTGGGTAATTACAAGGGAACTACCCGTCATTTCGAGAAGAAGACTAATCCTGAATGGAACCAAGTCTTTGCCTTCTCCAAAGATCGGATCCAAGCTTCCATTCTTGAGGTTCTAGTCAAGGACAAAGATTTTGTGAAGGATGATTTTGTCGGGAGGGTTACTTTTGATTTGAGTGAGATCCCGAAAAGGGTTCCCCCTGATAGCCCTTTGGCTCCTCAGTGGTACAGATTGGAAAATAAAAACGGTGATAAGGTTAAGGGGGAGCTGATGTTGGCAGTGTGGATGGGCACTCAAGCAGATGAGGCATTCTCAAATGCTTGGCATTCTGATGCTGCGACGGTTCCTAGTGATGGCCTTGCTAATATAAGATCAAAGGTTTATCTGACACCTAAGGTTTGGTATGTTAGGGTTAATGTCATTGAAGCTCAGGATTTGCAGCTTAGTGACAAGGGCAGGTTTCCCGAAGTATTTGTGAAGGCATCGCTTGGGAACCAAGCCCTCAGGACAAGGATATCTGCAATCAGGAACATTAATCCAATGTGGAATGAGGATTTGATGTTTGTAGCTGCGGAGCCATTTGAGGAGCATTTGGTCATAAGTGTTGAAGATAGGGTTGGGCCGAACAAGGAGGAGCTCCTTGGGAAGACTATTATTCCGCTTCAGAATGTTGATCGGAGGTTGGACTACAAGCCCGTGCCGAGCCGATGGTATACTATTGAGAAACATGTGGTCATTACAGAAGGTGACAAGAAAAAGGAATTGAAGTTTTCTAGCAGGATTCATCTTAGGATATGTTTGGATGGTGGGTACCATGTATTAGATGAATCCACACATTACAGCAGTGATTTCAGACCAACAGCGAAGCAACTGTGGAAGCCAAGTATTGGAGTTCTTGAATTAGGGATCTTGAATGCTCAAGGTCTGTCGCCAATGAAGAACAAGGATGGAAAGGGAACTGTTGATGCGTATTGTATTGCAAAATATGGACAGAAATGGGTTCGAACGAGGACTATAATTGACAGTTTTGCTCCAAAATGGAATGAGCAGTACACTTGGGAGGTATATGATCCGTGTACGGTTGTGACAATTGGTGTGTTTGATAACTGTCACTTACAAGGTGGTGAGAAGGCTGCAGGAACCCGGGATTCCAGGATTGGTAAGGTTCGAATCCGACTTTCAACCCTCGAAACGGATAAAGTTTACACCCATGCATATCCTTTACTTGTTTTGCTACCTTCGGGAGTGAAGAAGATGGGAGAGGTGCAACTTGCTGTCCGATTTACTTGTTCTTCGCTGCTTAACATGATGCACATGTATTCGCTGCCATTGCTTCCGAAAATGCACTACCTTTTTCCCCTTTCTGTGACTCAACTTGATAATCTGAGGTACCAAGCTACTCAGATTGTTTCAATGAGACTTGGCCGCGCAGAACCGCCATTGAGGAAAGAAGTTGTTGAGTATATGCTTGATGTGGACTCTCACATGTGGAGTATGAGAAAGAGCAAAGCTAATTTCTTCAGACTCATGGGTGTATTTAGTGGTGTTATTGCAGTTGGAAAGTGGTTTAATCAAATATGCAATTGGAGAAATCCTTTGACTACAGTGCTCATTCATGTCCTGTTTGTGATTCTTGTTCTGTATCCTGAACTTATACTTCCAACAATATTCTTGTATCTGTTCCTAATTGGAGTATGGTACTATCGACGGAGGCCGAGGCATCCTCCTCACATGGACACCAGACTCTCCCATGCAGAAACTGCTCATCCTGATGAGTTGGATGAAGAATTCGATACTTTTCCTACTTCTCGACCCCCTGATATCGTCAGGATGCGATATGATCGATTGAGGAGTGTTGCTGGTCGGATTCAGACGGTTGTTGGCGATCTCGCGACCCAAGGGGAGAGATTGCTATCACTGTTGAGTTGGCGGGATCCAAGAGCAACTGCACTTTTTGTGATATTTTGTCTGATTGCTGCTATTGTGCTATATGTTACTCCATTTCGGTTGGTGGCTTTTTTGGCTGGAATATATGTGCTAAGGCATCCAAGGTTCAGACACAAGATGCCATCTGTTCCTCTTAACTTCTTCAGGAGGTTGCCTGCTAGGACGGATAGCATGTTATGAGAAGGTCAGATCTGTCTTGTATGGCTGATTTTTAAACAGACCTTGAATTGCTAGCTTCCTAGTTGTAGCTGGAGATTTGTCAGCCTTATCATTTTAAAATGATCTGTAGCATGTTCTTCTTTCTTTTTTTCTTTGCTGTCTGTTTTGTTGTGTTTTCTCAATATGTGAACTTATCTGTTTTTTGTTTAATGTTTTATCATATCCTGTAATATCATTTCGCATGTTCTTCTTCCCCGTATTGTTAGAAGTGAAACCATGCCAGCCTAAACATTTGTTGATTTTTTTTGCTTTTATTTTCCTTACTTTCTTAAAAGTTATAATTGTGATCTATAATGTGAAAGTTATTTATAAAATAAATTTCATTGAATTTATAAATTTGAGCTAAATTAATACTACTCATTTGTTTTATTTATTTTGAAAAAGAATATATATATATATATGTTGGTTCCAATTCAATAGATCGCTAAAGGACAAATTGAAAGAAAATGAGACTAGCAATAGATCGCTAAAGGACAAATTGAAAGAAAATGAGACTAGACTTTCTGAGAATTCTCTTTGTATTATTTTGAAAGAGGAAAAAAGACTTTCTGAGAATTCTCTTTGTATTATTTTGAAAGAGGAAAAAAATATAAGTTTGGAGTGTGTGTCTTACATTGCAGCACATCACCCAATTTATACTAACCAATGTATACCGAAAAAAAAAGAAAACGTACACAATAAAGACAAAGAATTGTAGGCATTAAATGTCATCATCAATTCAGTCATCAATTCACGTCTATTTTAAGACCTATATTTATTCCACTAATTATGCAATCCATTCATGTCTATTATAAGACCACTAATTGAGTAATCAATTTATGCTTATTATAAGACTTATATTTATTCCACTAATTGAGTAATGAATTTAAAATTAGACTCACAATCTCCCCCGTAATCTTGATTTGGTTCGAAGTTGTTTACGCCAAGCAGCTCTCGCATTTTTGAGAATTTGACTCTTGCTAGAGCCTTGGTGAGAATATCCGCATGCTGCTCTCCGGTGCTTATGAATTCCACGACGATCTGTTGATTCTCGACACACTCGCGAATAAAGTCGAAGCGAATGTCAATGTGCTTGCTGCGTCCATGAAACACTAGGTTCTTTATCAATACTATTGCAGATTTGTTGTCGACGTAGATTGTTACTGATTTAGGCTTGCTTCCGGTTACTTCGCTCAACAAACTTCTCAGCCATAATGCTTGGCATGATGCAGCAGTGGCTGCCATGAACTCTGCCTCACAGGATGAAAGAGCAATGGTTTGCTGCTTCTGAGATTGCCAAGTGATTAAGTTCTCATTGAGGTAAAATGTCATCCCTCCGGTGCTTTTCCTGTCGTCTATATCACCGGCGAGATCACTGTCAGTAAAACCAACGAGTTCTTCAGCTCCTTGTTCTCTTTTGTACGGAATCCCGTAGTTTATTGTTCCTTTCATGGAACGAAGAATGTGCTTCACCTCCTGTTGGTGTAAAGTGATAGGTTGCTCTATGTAACGGCTCACCATGCCAACTGCATATGAGATATCGGGTCGAGTATGGGTCAAGTACCTGAGACACCCGATGTCACGCCTATACTTGGTGGGATTCACAAGGATTCCTTTTTCATCCTTTACTAGCTGCAACTTTGCTTCCATTGGATACTTGCTCGGGTTGCAGTCCGAACTGCGCCAACATCTTCTTTGCGTAAGCCGATTGCTTCATTGTGATGCGGTCTTTCTTTTGGTCTACCTCGATACCGAGGTAGTATGAGAGTAGCCCAAGATCACTCATCTCGAACTCCTTCATCATTTGCTTCTTGAATGTCTCAACACCATCAATGTAGGATCCCGTTACGATCAAATCGTCAACGTATACGCTGACGATGAGTACTTCGGTTCCGTGATTCCTTGTGTACATAGCCTGCTCTTGAGGACACTTCATTAAGCTTAGACTCGTCATTCTCTTGTTAAAACAAGTGTTCCACGCCCTTGGTGCTTGGTGTAGTCCGTAGAGAGCTTTGGACAGCTTGTACATCTTGTGCTCTTCATTCTTGACAATGAATCCTTCAGGTTGGGTGACGTAGACTTCTTCTTCAATATCACCATTGAGAAACGCTGACTTGACGTCCAAGTGGTGGATCTCCCACCCACGATGAGCTGTGAGGGCAAGAATTAACCTGACGATATCGAGTCTTGCCACCGGTGCAAAGGATTCAGCGAAGGATTCCTCGAAGTCAACTCCTTGCTTCTACACGTAACCTTTCGCCACCAATCTTGCTTTGTGCTTGAGGATGTTGCCTTCGCTGTCTCTTTTCAACTTGAACACCCCTTTTAAGCCGATGAGCTTGTGACAAGGTGGCAAGTCGGTGAGCTCCCATGTCTTATTCTTCTCGATGGACTCGAGCTCTTTCTGCATGGCCTTAGCCTTATTCCGCGTCTCATCGGTTGCCGCCTCGTGATATGTTGTTGGCTCGTCGGTAGTGGGCAACAACAATTCATCAAGGTCCATTTTTTTCTTAAGAAAAAAAAAATTTTAATTCATAGACCTCGGCAAGTGAACGAAATTTCTTGGGAGCATCTTCGGTTGTGGATCTTCCCGAGCTCTCTTGTTGTCGTTGTGTTGTCGTTGAGAGGTCGTTGAGAGTTCGGCGTGACCACTGGTGTCATTGGCGAGGTTGAGCCCTCTACTTCTTCGTCGTCTTGTAAAATTTCGAACTCCATAGAATTTTATACGAGCTCTTCATCATCGTTGCACCATTCCCACTTCTTCTCCTCTTCAAACACTGCGTCTCTGCTCACAAAAATTTTTCTGCGTGGTGGATCGAGAAATCTGTGCGCCTTACTTCTGTCTTCGATGCCAAGATACACCATTGCTTGACTTCGATCATCGAGCTTCTTGAGATATGGATCTGCAACCTTCACATGTGCGGTACATCCAAACACTCTCAAATGTTTCAAATGAGGTCGCTTGCCGAACCATGCTTGGTAAGGGGTACAATCTCCTAGCACCTTTGTTGTCAAGCGGTTCAAGAGATACACTGCATGTCGTACCGCTTCTCCCCAGAGGTTTGTCGGGACTTGCATGCTCTTAAGCAAGCTTCTCGCGGTGCCCATCACGGTGCGATTTCTCCTCTCCACCACACCATTTTGTTGAGGTGTGTACGATGCCGTGAGGTGACGCTCGACTCCCTCTTCTTTGTAGAACTCCACGAACTTCTAGGAAGTGAACTCGCCACCTCGATCAATTCTCAAAGTCTTCAACTTGTACTCCGACGTGTTCTCCACGACCTTCTTGAACTTCTTGAATGTTTCAAAAGCTTATCCTTTTTCTTTCTGCATGTACACCCACATCCAACGACTATAATCATCACTAAGTAAAAAGAAATACTTGTTACCAACGAGTGATGTCGGGGTGATCGTACCACACAGATCCGCGTGCACAAGTAATAGAGGATGCCCGGCTCGGAAGGTGGCTTAGGCAGGAAACGACAGTAGTCTTGTTTGCTTTGAAATCATGCAACTCTCACACACTTGGTTGGGGTGTGTGATCTTAGGCAGCCCTATGACCATCTCCTTCTCCCCCATCATTTTGAGCGCATAACATTTTACATGCCCAAGTCTCGCATGCCATAACCATGCTGGATCTGCTAAAGAAACGGGTTGGCTGGTCTCGAGGGAAATCTTGTACAACCGATTTGGCGATTTTTCCACCTTCATCAACAGGGCGTCATTTTGGTCGAACATCTTCAAGAACGAGCCGACTAAGGTGATCGTGTTGCCTTCTTCTGTCATCTAACCGAGACTTATGATATTACTTTTTAATTTCAGAATGTAATATACCTCTGTCATTAGACGTTGATCGCCGGTTTTGCATACAAACATGATGGTTCCTCAGCCCTTGATCTCGATGAGTGAGCCGTCTCCGAACTTCACATTTCAGGTGATCTTCTTGTCGAGCTCATTGAACTTCTCTCGATGGTCTGTCATGTGGTTGCTTGCTCCATTGTCAAGATACCATAAGTTGGTGTGATTATACTCCTCGCCACTTGCAAGGAGGTTCGCCTTAACTTTTTCTTCATTGAGCAACACCCCCTCTGGTTCCTCCTTCGAAGATTCTTGCGTGAACTCTTCGAGGTTTGTCTCCTCGTCTTCAGGCAAGGGATTCACCACTCCCTCGGCAAACATTAAGGTTCGCTTCCTCTTCGGCCTTCTTGCTACGACATTCGGACGCGTAGTGTCCATGCTTTTGACAATTGTAACACTTCACTGTGCTCTTGTCTTTGCGGGGTTTAATGTCTTCTTGTCGAGGTGAGCCTTCTTCGCCTCGACCTTGCCCTCATCCCCGCCCCTTGCCACGACCTCGACTATCTCCACCGTTGCCGCCGCTACTCGACGATTTGGAAGAAAAATCGGCTTCTCCGTTTTTTTCTTCATTCGTGACATTCATTCTGCATGCGTGAGCAAGAGGTGCTTCTCCTCCTCTTGGTCTCCATAGCCGCAAAGTCTCTCTTCGTGAACTTTGAGACGACTGACGACCTTCTCGACGGTCATGTTTTTGAGGCGGTCATGTTTTCGAGGTCACCGAATTGCTCGATCGCAGTGACGATCTGCATGTATTTTTATGGTACGACTCGAAGGAACTTCTTGATGAAGGAGATCTCCTCCACCTTCTCTCCCAATGAGCGGATGCCTGTCACAATGGACGTCAATTTCATGGTGAAATCGTCCACCCTCTCTTCGTCCTTCATGCGGATCGCCTCGATATGAGTCCTCAGGGTTTGCACTTTCGCCTCCTTGACTCGCTCCACGCTGACGTGCATCATCTTTAGTGTCTTCCATGCTTGCTTGGCAGAATCCTTCTCTGCCACCATGAGAAGAACGTCCTATGGTAGCGTTTGATAGATGGCAGCGAGGGTCTTTCTATCCTTACGCTCTTCGACCTCGTCTTGCTCCACGACATCCCACACTCCTTGAGCTTTGAGCTTGTAGGTTCACACTGTAGGTTCACACGCATCTTCAACGCCCACACCGAGTAGTTACTCTTCGTGAGTAACGGATAAGTGAGCGTTAGGGTCCCTTCTCTTTCGATCTTCATTACTGTCATATCTCCTATGATAGCTTTGCTCGGTGACGACATGTCCTTCGGCTAACTTGGCTCTGATACCAAATGCTGGTTCCAATTTAATGAATCGCTGAAGGACAAATTGAAAGAAAATGAGACTAGACTTTTGGGAATTCTCTTTGCATTATTTTGAA